TCCGCAAATTGATGCTTATTCTGTTTCCTCTGCGCAGCGCTCTTCTTGCTAGCGGCCCGAGGCACCCATCGAGCGGCACAGGTTCAGCGGCCAATGCAGCCGGCACCATTTGAGCCACCGAGCCTCTGGGAGCACACCTGGTCGCAACGATCAGGGCACGAGCCGAAACCAGCGTGTTCTCGGATGCTCCGATCGGCCCCCGAGGGACGCCGACGGGACTGGGCCCCTGTCCACCTCCCCCCCCCCCTCCTCCTCCTCCTCCTCCTCCTCCTCCTCCTCCTCTCCTCCTCCTCCTCCTCCTCCTCCTCCTCCTCCTCCTCCTCCTCCTCCACCTCCTCCTCCTCCTCCTCCTCCTCCTCCTCCTCCTCCTCCCTCCTCCTCCTCCTCCTCCTCACTTCCTCCCTCCTCTCCTCCTCCTCCTCCTCCTCCTCCTTCCCTCCTCCTCCTCCTCCTCCTCCTCCTCCTCCTCCTCCTCCTCCCCCCTCCTCCTCCTCCTCCTCCTCCTCCTCCTCCTCCTCCTCCTCCTCCTCACTTCCTCCTCCTCCTCCTCCTCCTCCTCCTCCTCCTCCTCCTCCTCCTCCTCCTCCTCCTCCTCCTCCTCCTCCTCCTCCTCCTCCTCCTCCCTCCTCCTCCTCCCCTCCTCCTCCTCCTCCTCTCCTCCTCCTCCTCCTCCTCCTCCTCACTTCCTCCTCCTCCTCCTCCTCCTCCTCCTCCTCCTCCTCCTCCTCCTCCTCCTCCCTCCTCCTCCTCCTCCTCCTCCTCCTCCTCCTCCTCCTCCTCCTCCCTCCTCCCTCCTCCTCCTCCTCCTCCTCCTCCTCCTCCTCCTCCTCCTCCTCCTCACTTCCTCCTCCTCCTCCTCCTCCTCCTCCTCCTCCTCCTCCTCACTTCCTCATCCAACATTGAGGCTCCAACATTGAGGCTCCAGTTTGTGTCCTGGAGATCAGCCCCTTCGTGCCGGAGGCTTCGGACCCTCCACGGGGTGCGACGCCGGGGGGCTCGGCCCCGGGGGCGAACACCGGCGTCCCTCAATCGCCCTCTCCTCGCCGACCTTGGCCTGGGTGCCCCACCCAGCCCAACAGCGTGGGGGCTCCCCACCCGGGGCGCCTCGCCGATCTAACGGCGGTGTGTCGTCGATCCCGGGCCACTGCTCCCCCCCTGAGCCGGCCCGCCCTCTGCGGCTCCCCTCCTCCTACTCCTCCTCCTCCTCCTTCTCCTCCTCATGCACCTCCTCCTCCTCCTCCTCCTCCTCCTCCTCCTCCTCCTCCTCCTCCTCCTCCTCCTCCTCCTCCTCCTCCTCCTCCTCCTCCTCCTCCTCCTTCCTCCTCCTCCTCCAGGCGGTGGGGTCAGGGCCAGGGCGAATCGGGGGCGGAGGATCGCGCGCCGCCGCTGCATCGGTGGCGCGGCGCGACCTGTAGCTCGACTCTCTCTCCCCCCCCGGCGTCGCCGGCAGCCCGCTGTGCTCGGGCCCCCCGGCCTCCAAGATCTCGGGGGCCCTCGGCGGCCCAGGCCCCCGTGCCGCGGGAGGAGCGATGAGCGCGCGCGCGAGGCAGGGCCGCAGCCGAGCACGTCGGTGCCCCCTGGGCTGCCTCCCCCCCAGACCCCCTCGAGTTATGAAAAAATCACGACGGGAGGTTTTTCATTATTTGTGGCCTTTGGGGGCCCTTACCGGCCCTCGGGACCGTCAAAAAACGACTCAGGACGAAAAACTGGTCACGCTGAATGGGTCGAGACCTCGGGGGGTCGACGCCATGAAAAAATCATGACGTCGGGGGTCTGGGCCGCCCTCCCCTCTTGGCATCGCTCGGACGTGTGCACTTCTCCTCCGGCGAGGGCCCTCGAGGAGCATCCTCGATCCTTTGGCGAGCAAGGCCACGCACGAGACCCCCCCCGAACAAAAACACGGGAAATAATGGACGTCCGAGCGAGGGCCGGCCCCGGCCTCCCGAGAGGACGTGGCGCTGGACGCCGACGTCATGCCCGGGACCCCGATCTAGGGCCGCGGTCGCCCGGCGCCCCTGCCGGCCCCAGGGGGCAGTCGAGGCTCCCAGACCCCCTCGCGTCGTGAAAAAATCACGACGGGAGGTTTTCCATTATTTCTGAGGCTCCCAGACCCCCTCGAGTTATGAAAAAATCGCGACGGGAGGTTTTTCACTATTTCTGGCCTTCGGGGGCCCCTACCGGCCCTCGGGACCGCCAGAAAACGACTCGGGACGAAAAACCGGCCCCGGGGAATGGGTCGAGACCTCGGGGGGTCGACGTCATGAAAAAATCATGACGTCGGGGGTCTGGGCTGGGTCCGGCCGGCCCTCGGGAGGGGCCACGGTTCGGGGGCTGCGTCGGCTCCAGGGGGGGCGGAGGCGTCGAGCCCCAGGCGCCCACCCGTCGCCGAGGGGGGCCTGACAATTATGAGGAGGGGGGAAACAAACACACAGACACAGTTCATCGTCGATTCCCCAGAAAGCACTTATGGGAAACTATGGGAAGTGTGGGGGGGGGGGAAGACAAAGACCCAGGAAGATAGGGGAACAGATGGGGAATCTGGTTATTTGTGTCTATCTATTCGTGTGTCCCAGTTCCCCTTCACGATAGTCCACCCCGCTCCTGCACGTACCAACTCGCTATCGGAGGCGCCCCAGGACGGGTTGCCGAGCCCAAGATCGCCCCAGGATGTCCCAAAACGGCTCCAGGGCGCTTCAGAAGGAGCCCCAGGGGTCCCAGGAGGCCCAAGGATGGTCCGGTCCTGCTATGGCTCCGAAAGGACCCCCAGACGGCCCAGATCGTCCAACGGCATAACATTGGCATTAGTTGTAGCATTTTTCCAGTGTGTTTTTCCGCTGTAGACGACGGTGCACCAAAGGGTCCTAAGACAGCCGCAAGAGAGCCCCCGACACGGCGCACGGCGGCCTCCGTGGGAGGCAACAGCCAACAGGCCAGGTCTCCGGTGTGGCTCCTCCCCCTCGTCCCTCCCTCTTCTCCGTCGGGAACCTGTGCAGCTCACCTCCTCGGTGGTGTCTGACGTCCTGGGGGATAGAGGTCTGTACACTTCGCGGAAGCGCGGGATCCCCTCCTTCCTCTCGCCCTTCCCCTTCCCATCCTGCCCGTCCTTCCCGCTTCTTCATATATGCGTACGCGCCTCTATACACATATGTGCGTATGTATTCACATACTTGCTTACATGCATGCAGGTAAGCACGCATGCATGTATATATAGGTATGTATGTTTACGTATACATGTGTGTATGTATGTATGTATGTATGTATGCATGCATGCATGCATGTACGTGTGTGCGTGTGTACGGGTGTACGTGTGTGCGTATGTATGTTTGTAAGTCTGTATGTATGTATGGATGTATGTGTGTATGTGCGTACGTACGTACGTACGCATGTACGTACGTATGTATGTATGTATGTATGTATGTATGTATGTACGTACGTACGTACGTATGTATGTATGTATGTATGTATGTATGTGTGTGTGTGTATGTATGTATGTATGTATGTATGTATGTATGTATGTTTGTGTGCATGTATGTATATGCATGTAGGTTTATGTATATGTATGTATATGTATGTATATGTATGTATATGTATGTATGCATGTATGCATGTACGTACGTATGTACGTATGTATGTATGTATGTATGTATGTATGTACGTACGTATGTATGTATGTGTACGCTTACGAAAAAAAAACGTTAGTTGTACCTATGTGTAACCTCCTCCTCCTCCCCCTCCTCCTCCTCCTCCTCCTTCTCCCTCTCCTCCTCGCGCCACCAGGCATGTCCATAGGGGAGGGCGGGCGTGTTGCTTGTGTTCCCCTGGCAATGGTCCAATCTTGAAGCTTGAAAAGCCCCAACACCGGGCTGAGGGCAGGGCGTTTTCAACATGCTCCCCCCGCGTCAGCACCGCGCGTGCCCGTCTTCAGCCTGTACCATAGTTACACGGATGGGAAGCGGGTCGATTTCCAAATCTGGCGTTCGTATCGGCGCCTCGCACATGAGTCTGTAACGTCTACCAGTGCCGAACGAACGGAGGGTGATACTCTTTCTTCAAGATTGAGCTGTCGCCTGGGACTTTCGAAACCCATCTCAATCCGACGCGCGAGGAGGCGACATGTCGCCGCAGCTGAGCGCATCGAGGGCGGCTCCGCTCAAACTCAGATATGACCCGCCGTCTGTTCGGCCTGACGGCGAGCGCCTCCATGATGTGCAGCAGCTTCACGCCTGGAGGCCAGTGCTCTTCTTGTCCGAAGTGGATCTCGACTGACCTGAAGTCAACTGGATTGAGCTGCAGGCCTCGGAAAAGAACAGCGAACACTCATGCCAGAATTCATCTGTGAACGCCTCCCCCTCCCCCCAGTGTTCAAAGTTGGCGGTGGGTCTGACGAGTTGCACCTCGACCGCAGTCTCCCCCGCGCGTGCCAACCTTGAGTTTGGGGGGCAGGGCGGTGTTCACTAATTGTTTCTCTCTACAATCAAAAACCCTCATAAGGACGTGCGACGTACCCGTGCATCCTTGCTCTTCCCTGCTCTTGCGTCCTTGAGCTTTTCGTCGTCCGCCGCCCCCAAAATTCCAGCTTCGGCTTCCAAGGGTCTTGCGTCCTTACCGCGCGTCCTTATCAGGGTTTTTGACTGTACCTCCTGGCCTGTAGCTGTGAGGACGGAGCACGGCTCCATGTCAATCGGGGGGCTCCCGCGCCTGACTGGCATGCCCGTGGGGCCGTCGACTTTTGCAGGGTTCCAGGCGGCGCTCTCCGTGGTGACGCGGGACGCTTGTTCGGACTTCGGAAGGGGAGGTCCGCGACGCGGGTTGGCATGACAGCATCGTGGACGCATCTTGGATTTACTTCCGACGAAGGCGTCTATACACCACCACCGTGCCGGGCCATGGCCATCCTGGGCCCTAGGATGGTGTAGAGACCCTCCTGGCCTCGGCCAGGGGGGCGTATACGCCATGCCAGGGCCAGGATGGCCCTGGCTTGGCACTGTGGTGGTGTATAGATGCCGTCTGCGTATTACTCTAGGCCCCATCCTCCCCATTCCCCCCCTCCCCCTCCCCAGGGGGCCGGTGGCCTTCGGCCCCCAGGGCCGGGGGCTGGGCGACCGCGGATCCGTGCTATGGCGATGGCCAGCGCGTACACTGGTGTGTGGTGGGCCAGCGAGGACGCAGCGGAGCGTAAAGGGGACGAGGGGGTAGGGGCTAGGAGGAGGAGGAGTAGGAGGAGGAGGAGGAGGCGCTTCAAGACAGGACCCATGCCATCGTGCAACTGCCAGCATGTGACCCAAGCACCTACCACCGCCGAGCGGCGGTGCAGGATACACACTTGTGAACCCGTGCTGTCCGCTTACTGTAAAAGAGAGTCCCATCCTCATTGCCATCGTTCTGTTCATTTTGCATGGTAGCGGAGCGGGGTTCTGGCGACGAGACAAGGAAGCATAATACCTTCAACAAGACAGGAGTGGAAAGAGTACAACCTCGCCAACTTCGGAGCCAATTGTCTGACAGCCAATCAACAGGGCGACTATGAATTCGTCAAAACGGCGCTGCAGGCCAAACATAATGCAATGAATAACTACCTGAACGAACAAGAGCTCACGGGCAACCCCGAGTTGTCGGTGAACACGCGACGACGATGGTGGAAATGTTCAACCCATCCAGCGCAGCGCTATTGAGCAGCGCCAGCCGTGAGAGCCGACACGAGACGGAAACGGCAATGGTGAAATCAATAGTCGCCGAGTTGGAGACATAAGTGGCATGACGAGTGCGCACAGACACCAGACTCGCCCTGATGGAAGACACATGTGGGTCAGGCAATCGGCGGCGGGCGCGGGGGGGAACTGAGAAGGGGCGGGGCTTCCGAGGCTTCTGAGAAGTTTCTGGACTTCTGAGAGGGCTTCCGAGAAGTTCTGTCTGCATTCGAAATAGGCCAAGGAAACGTCTCAGAAGCCCCCCGGACTTCTAGGAAGTCCCGCGGCCTTCTGAGAAGGCCTTCTCCTTCTCATTTCCCCCCTGGGCTCGTCGCCTAGGCAAGCACAGGATGCACCAGAGACCGGACCAGATCCCAAACAGGGAGCGACAGGCCACCAAAACGCGCTGGCCCGGGTGACAACACTGGAGAAGCCGCCGGGCCCTCCAGACGCCGAGCTCGAAGCCGGGAGCTATATGGCTGGCCGCGCGCGCGCCGCGGCGCCTGTACAGTCGGGGCCCTGCAGAAGGAGCCCTTTTCGTTGGGGAGGGGCTCCGCGTTCCTCAGGTGTTTCACAGCCTGCCCCAGGTTTTCCTTGTGCTTTCCAGCGGAAGTCGAAGTTTCACTCATGGATAAAAGGGGCCTCGTGCCTCATTTAGGGTTCCTCAGGTCAACGCCCCGACTGCAGTCCGCAGGGGGCAGCTGCGGGAGAGGCCGCGGGCCGACGTGGCTTCGGGGCCGCCCGCGAGTCAGCGGGCGCGAGCTGGAGCGGTTCGCGGGCCCTCGCATCCACGTCTGCCTGCCGAGAAGAGACAGGCCTCGGAAGAAATGAGCGAGCACTCCTGCCAGAATTCATCTGGGAGCGCCTCCCCCTCCCCCCAATGTTCAAAGTTGGCGGTGTGTCTGAGGAGTTGCACCTCGACCGCAGTCTCCCCCCCGCGTGCCAACTTTGAGTTTGGGGGGGCAGGGGGGGTGTTCACTAATTGTTTCCCTCTACCGGAGTTCTTGTCCATCTTCCATCAGGTCTATTCCTTCATCCGTGATGCCGTCCCCGACCTTAGTGGAGGAGGGGACAAGACCGGGATGCTGGCCGTAAAGCCATCGCAAATCTGAAGCCTCAGGGCCATCGGCTGTGAGGAAGTCTCCGGCGAAACGCCTGGGCTGCCCTCCCGACACGTCTCTGGGTGCCACAGGGGGGAGCTATCTGTAGATAACAGGGATGGAGGAGGAGGAGGAGGAGGAGGAGGACGAGGAGGAGGAGGAGGACGAGGACGAGGACGAGGAGGAGGAGGAGGAGGAGGACGAGGACGAGGACGAGGAGGACGAGGACGAGGAGGAGGGATGGAGGAGGAGTAGGAGGAGGGCGAGGAGGATCGAGAATCGAGGATCGAGGGTGGGCGGCGCGACAGCGCCCAGGAGGTGGCCGCGCGCCGCGCCCTGGGCTCGGCAGCCTCCCCACCCCCGTCCCCGTCCTCGCCCCCGCCGGCTTCCCGCACGCCCTCCTCCTCCTCCTCCTCCTCCTCTCCTCCTTCTCCTCCTCCTCCCTCCTCCTCCTCCCTCCTCCCTCCTCCTCCTCCCCCTCCGTCTCCTCCTCCCCGCCCTCTCCTCCTCCCCCTCCCCTCCTCCTCCCTCCTCCTCCTCCTCCTCCTCCTCCTCCCCGTCCTCGTCTTCCTCCTCCCCCGCCCTCTTCCTCCTCTCCTCCTCCTCCTCCTCCTCCTCCTCCTCCTCCTCCTCCTCCTCCTCCTCCTCCTCCTCCTCCTCCTCCCCCGTCCTCGTCTTCCTCCCCCGCCCTCGTCCTCGTCCTCGCCAGCTTC